GGGGCCATGGAGGGTGTCGGAGGAGGAATATCCTTCTGCCTCCACCGCTCAAAGCCACTCAGCAGCCACAGGACCAGGGTGGGATGGTCTTGCTGAAGAGCCACCAAGGAGCTTGTGCATCCCATGAGCAGGAGCCTCTCCCAGACCAGGAGCCCAGGTGCAAGGACGCAGCCCTGGGTGAGAGGACTAGAGAGGGATAGAGAGATAGAAACATTGATGAGAGATAAACATTGATTGGCTGCTTCCAGCACGCCCACTCAGGATGGAGCCCGCAACACGGGCACGTGCCCCTGACCGGACTCGATCCCAGGACCCTTCAGTCCACAGGCCTACGTTCCTATCCTCTGAGCTAAACCGGCCAGGGCTATAAATAAACTTTTGATTGTATTTTGAAAAACAAACACACACAAGAATCTGAAGGTTTCCTCTCTCCAACACCAGAGAACATGTCAGGCAATGATACCCTACAGAGTCCAACTCTGGAAGCATATCCAGCCCTTCTGTTGGCGAATCCCCCCTCCTGTTAGAGTGATCGAAACAGTGCTGAGGGGAAATGCCCGCTGGGAACCTGGCAGTCTACACCCCTGTGAAGAGTGGTGGCTGTCACACAATATAAATCATCCAGCGTGGAGGGCATGAGCAAAGAGGAGGAACTCTCTGAGAACTGTGGAGTGGGGAGCGAATGCTCTGCCCAGAGTGCTTTTCATGGCCTGGTGTGGCTTGTGTCTGGTAAGTGGGCGCATGGACCCTCCCCCGCTCCAACTTCCCTCCCTCCTGCGGGGAGACAGTGAAGGCCATCAGTCAGCGGACTGTGAGAGCTGGGAGCCTGGCCAGATCCTCAGGGAAGAAGACAGCTTGCAGTGTTGGTCTTACCAGGCCCGTACCTCCCCCTGCATGTCCTGTGTTTCTGTTTTCTGTCCTCTGTGAGCCTGGTGTAGGGAAAGTATGGGTGGCGGCAAAACAACAGCACAGGCCGGCCACCCCCAGTGCACCCCTCTGCGGCCTGATGGGACTTAGTGGTTCAACTTGTAAGTCCTCATAACCCATGTTTTTCACAGCCATTCCTCTGGGTTATGTCTTTGGGAATCCAAGAAAAATACGCTGAGGTTATCTGGGAGCTCAGCACTTTTAAAAAATATATATATATTATTGATTTTTTACAGAGAGGAAGTGAGAGGGACAGAGTGTTAGAAATATCAATCAGTTGCCTCCTGCACACCTCCTACTGGGGATGTACCCGTAACCAAGGCACATGCCCTTGACCGGAATCAAACCTGGGTTCCTTCAGTCCTCAGGCCGACGATCTATCCACTGAGCCAAAGTGTTTAGGGCCTCAGCTCTTTTTGTAAAAAAGTCAGTTGGCTCATGGCAGATGCCTATGGAATAAGAAGAATTGAACAAGGTGGTGCCTCCCCACCCCCTTCATTCTTTGTGGCTCTGCCCAACACTGCCACCATCTTCGATACCTTGGCCATGATCCTAGGAGTGTACCAGGCTGTATTGTCCTCAGCAAATGCTTTCTCAGTCTGTCCCTGGCTGCCGAGTCACAACATAAAGCTGCCTGCGTGTGGGAGGCACAATAACAGACCTTCAAGTGCTCCCCCAGGGCTACCCGCCCGCCCCACAGTGTCCTGAGGTGGGAGCCTGACACCTGTCCCTGTCCTTCCCCACATCAGTGAAGCGGCCCCTTGCACATGAGGTAATGGTGCCCGGTGGAGACTTCCTTCGGGGCAGGACACTCCGCACACTTTGCTGGAACGTCTGCAGGCGAGAGGGTGGGCGGTTTACCCACAGGCAATTCATGGCCCAGGCACCACCATGGAGTGTCTGGGAGTTGGTGGTTGGGTGAGACGCTCATTGTCCCAGAGGCTGATTGACAAGGTGCAAGCACAGCCTCCGGGACCTGTAAAAGGTGCGAATTTTTGTAGGAATTGGAGGGCTTCTTTTTTTAGAATATATTTTTATTGGTTTCAGAGAGGAAGGAAGAGGGAGAGAGAGATAGAAACATCAATGATGAGAGAGAATCATTGATCAGCTGCCTCCTGCATGGCCCCCTCTGGGGGTTGAGCACTCAACTGGGGCATGTGCCCTTGACTGGAATTGAATCTGGGACCCTTCAGGTCATGGGCCTACGCTCTACCCAAACTGGCTTGGGCAGGCCTTCCTCCATTTTTATCTCCTCTTCCTCCTCCTCCCTACTCCCCCCTCTTTCTTTGCCTCCCACTTTGCCTCACCCTTTACCCTTCACCCCTTCCTCATCCATCACCCTCTTCCCCCTCCTCCTTCTCCTTCCTCTGCAAGGCCTCTAGTGCACCTTTGATGTCCTTTCCTTCTCCTGGGCACACTCCAGCCCTCCTCAATGCTCTTCTGGCCAGCACCTTCCTGCCCCAGGGCCTTTGCATTGGCTGTTCCCTGTGCCAGAGGGCCTTTAAGTCCCTCTGTGACCTCTATTCCTCCTCCTTCATTCATTGGTGTATGTTCTCCCCTAGAACCCTCCCCTCCCCTCTCCGACTGCCTCAGGTTCCTTTTGATGATCTCTCTCAGCTCTGCTGTACTTTAATATGGTGTTTGACTGGTTCCCAGCTGCCACCCCCATAAGACTGGATGAACCCCTAAAAAGCAAAGCTCACATTGTTACAGTTAAGCCCCTCTTGTACTGGGGAAATGGAACCTACTGTGGTCGAGGGTAGTTAGGGTACGGGGCAAGTTAATATTAGTAGTTGGAGCAACGGGGAAAGTTGATATTAGTAGCTAGAGCAACTGGGCAAGTTGATTAATGAATACCTTGGTAACGGGGCAGTGTTGATTAATGTATCCCAGGTAACTTTGTGTGTGTTTAGCCAACCGTTGTATGGTTTTTGGGAATAAAAGGCTGGCATGGAACCAGGGTCGGCGCTGTGGTAGGAGAACACGCCTACGGCAGCCGCTGGCCACCTTTCAATAAATCCTCACTTGCTGCTTAAGACCTAATTGGAGTTGGTGGTCTTACTCTCGTGAACATTGGTCCATAACATTTGGAGGCCCGCAGCGAGATACCCGGAGGTGGTGAGAGTACCCCCCGAGGGGCAGGAGGCTCTCCCTGTGAGAGGTACCTAGTGTGACTTTCGGTTGCACTGGGTTTGTCTGTCTGGTATTTGTTGTCTTGGTATTTGTTGTCAAAAAGTCGTCTGCTTCTCTGTGCACCCCTCTGCAATGTTTTTTGAAAAATTTTCAGGACTTCAAGGAGCGAGCTGCAGGTTCCGGGCAACCTTAGGTTGCATTTGTCTGGTTTGTTTTGTCTTTGTTCTTTGTTGTCTTGTCAAAATGGGTCAGGGTCAGTCATCTTCGTCGACCCTCTATCAGTCAGGCCCACTCCGGGTGAGTGGAAGGGGAGCTTGATCACCTCCTGGGAAGCTATAGAGCTCCCTCAGGAATTGGGAAATTGTTAGGAATTAGGAGGATTGTTGAAACTCTGAGTGAATGTCTGGTGAAAGTGTGTGAGTGTGGAGGGAGGGGGCCTGCCCTCTCCTCTCCTTTGTGTGGCTCCACGACTTCGGTTAAGGAGTTCGAGTGGGCCCCAACCTGCGGTTCCGAGATTCGTCATATTGAAGTATGGTAGCAATCATGTAGAAACTATAGTTTAACTCAGCGGTGGGCAAACTATGGCCCGCGGGCCGGATCCGGCCGTTTGAAATGAATAAAACTAAAAAAAAAAAAAAAAAACGAACC